CAACATCCTCGAAGATCAACGTTTGACGAATCAGAGACTTCATCGGTTTGAAAATAAAAGTTGAAATAAAATGATACGAGGTGGAAAGTGGTGGGTCTCGGATCCAACGTCATTTATCAATAGTTTGACTAATAACGGTTTACGGAAACTTCATCGACCGAAAAGATAAAAATAGAACAAAATGTCCAATAACAAAAGAGGAATAAGATTTAACCTCTAAAAATAAAGTAATCTCAAAACTCTAATATAAAATAATTCTAAAGTTCTAAAAGAACTATAATAGAGAAATTTTAAAAGAAATTAAATATAAAAATAGTATATATATATATATATATATATATATATATATATATATATATATATATATATATATATATATATATATATATATATATATATATATATAAACTCTAAAAGAAATAAATAATCTAAAATATAAACTATAAACATGTTACATAAAATAAAAGGAAAATTAAAACAACAATATAATGTATACATAATTAATAATAATAATAATAATAATATATATTTACATAACAAAAATAATATTTACATTTTATTTATAAAAAAAAAAAAAAAACAGGGGGTATAGGATCGTGGGGTGTATGTAGGAAGCCTCAAATATAGGCTGAGCCCATTGCATTTAACAGGGCACTGTTCAAACCAAACATCAAACTCCATTCCCTTGGAAACACAAACTATCAGGTAGCGGCACAAAATTGTCAAACCCTTCTTTTCATTTTTCCAAAAAAACGCAACAAAGTCAAAAAAAACTCCTGAGAAACTAACGATGAAGTTAAACCCAAAGCATACTCAACAACAAAATAAAACAAATCAACTTGTTCACAAAATACTCCGACTCAAACTCGCTCGCAAACTACTCCAGCTCCATCTCGTTCACAAACTGCTCGCGGTTTCAGATTTATTTTTTGATCAGGTTTGGTTTGATTTTCTTCTATTTTGCTTCATCTCCTGCTAGGTTTTGGTGTTTGATTGGTATGGTTTGAGGAAGAGAAGGTTTGAGCAAGTTATTGATGATGATTGAGTTTGTTGGTTGAAGCTTGAAGGAGGTTTGGGCAATGGTGGATGGAGGTTGAAGGATTTCGGAAAATGGATCAAGAGGTTGTTGAGTTGTGGTTCATGGTGATTGTTGAAATGGGTATGGGTTTGAGTTTACGGATTGTGAGTTTTGAGAGTTGATGAACGAAGAATGGAGGGATAGCGGTTTTTGTTGGTGGGTTTATGATGAAGTAGAGGGTTTGAATGTGTTGAAGGGAGTTTGATAGCTTTGATGGATGAAGAAGATGAAGGGGAATTTATGTGGTGTGGATTCGGTTATGATATTGTTTGAAGCTTCAATGGTGTTTTGAAGAACTTCTGGAAAAAAAAACTGATGATGAAGAAGGATGGTGATGGAGATATGATGCTGATGATGAAGATTGATAGAGGAATGATGTTGAAGAGGGGTTGGAAGTTGGAGTTGAAGATGATGGTGAAGGTAGGTAGAGAGTGGGCGGCAGAAACAGAAAAAACGGGTCGTTTGGTTATGGGTTTGGAAGGATATTGGTTTTTTTTGCAGAAGCAGGTTATGGAAGTTAGAGTTTGCGAGTTATTGATGGAAGAGAGCGGCCGCTGGTTTGGTGTTGTGAGTCTGGGTAGCGCTTGGTTGATGAAGAAGATGGGTGAAGAAGATGGTAGAGAGTGGCGGCAGAAACAGGGTCTAGGTTTTTTGGGGAAGGAAGTGAGTAGTGTTTTATACCCCTTAGAAGATGACACGTGGCACAGTTTTGACTTAATGGCGTGATTAAACACTGATAAAATAATACTAATGATTGATTAAAATTAATGTTGTACCAAATGCACCGTGATTAATGATATATGCTAATAACTAACTCTAAATAAACTAAATCCTAATTAAATTAATACCGATAATGATATTCTAAACTAAACTTAATTAATTCTAAATAACCTAAGCAGTAATATTCTAATAAATAAATAAATGAAAAAAAATCTAATAACTATTAAAAAAGTCTATTTGAATAAAATAATATTTCTATTTTCTAAATAAATAATTAAAAAAAATTAATTAAAATAAAAAGAAAATAATTCTAATAAAATGATAATCTAAAAAATAAAACTTTTAAAAAATTCTAATAACCTTAAATAACTCTAATTAAAAAATCTATTTCAAAACCAATTCTAACTAAAATAAAAATCTATTTCTATGTCTATTCTAAAACCGATAAATTCTAATATCTATTTAAAGCTAATTTCTAAAAATTCTATTAAATAATTTAATTAAAAAAGCCTAATAAAATAAAATTTATTTCTAAAAAAACAAAATTAATACCTATTTAAACTACTTCCTAAATAATGTTCTAAAATAAATATTCTAAACAAAAATTAAAAGAAAAGAGCTATATAAAAAAAATTGTTCTAAATAATTAAATAAAACAAAAAATAGCAATAAAAATGCAAAATGCCATGGAAAAAGAAATGAAAAGCGGCGAACACCAAAATGCGCCAAATTATCAGCACGGACTGAATCATCAAAAAGAGAGAAACTTTCGCTCGATTTCGACATGGAACTTCTCGTTTGAAATGATTTGAATCGTCTAAAATGCGAGCAAAGCGACCATAATCCCGATAAATTCAATCCGGCTGATAACACTGACAGGATGCGACATAAATGATGTGCAGGTGAAAACGAAACAAAAGCTAGTCAAAGCTAAAAAGAGGTGGGCAAATTTAGGGTATGACAGCGTTTTCAAGACTGACCCTTCACATTCCTCAAGACAAGTCCCTCTAGCTCCCCGCGGGCACATCCTCCTCGACAAGTCACAGGATATCATCCGAGTAGAAGTCTCGTCGATGGGACATTTTCCGCAATCACGTCCTCGCATCCCAAGGAAGACCACAAGCGACCATCGGTCGACCACACTAACCATAGACTGCTGATTGGCACGTCCCCGAAGATTTTGGTTCAAATAATAACAACCTCAAAAAGCCTTCCCGCGACGCGTTCCCTGCCCAACTGTTGACCAACTATACTAACTCAAGTCATTACTCATCACCTCAGAGCAACGACTTGGAGGGCTCCTGTTCTAGACTGGACTGACATTTGGCCCACAGTTGGGCAAGGTCCAACCCAGTCCAGCTTTAGGCAAGGCCCAATAAGGAGATTAAGACAATATGACCGTTGGGCATAATATATCCGTTGGATACAACATAGCCGTATGGCAAAATATAGTCGTTGAGGACATCCCCCTCACGCGCTTGACAGTTCACGCGACCAAATGCCCCTCCGAAATTCATGGGGACAGTTGGACCAGGTCAAAGATCACGCGCTAGATCTTCCACCTGGCAGTCTCCCATTGGTCGACTAGATATTTCGGCCACATGGGAGACCTTGGTCCGCACTGTGGGAATTTCATAAATACCCTCTCTCTTGAGAGGGTTAGATATTCAAATCATTCTAACTCATACCTAAACACTTGTATTTGCTCTCTCTATCCCAAAAACTTACTTTGACATCAGCATTCCTTGCAGGTACACCCTCTCCTCTCCTATAACTAATATTGTTATCCTACACTGAAGGTCACGACGATCCATTCTGATCACTCTAAATCATATATATATATATATATATATATATATATATATATATATATATATATATATATATATATATATATATATATATATATATATATATATATATATATATATATATATATATATATATATATATATATATATATATATATATATATATATATATATAAAACACAAATAAACTAATACTTGACCCTTTCTTAATTTCTCCAGTTAAGAAGAGAGTCAAAATCCTCCCAAGAAAAATAAAAAAACACAACAAAAACCTTTTCCTATATTTGAAAGGGTAGAGTGGGAGGTATAACATGCTTCTTTAATTATAGCACCAGCTTAAAACAGTTTCATATGGGAAAACACCCTCTAATGTAATATAAGAAGAGTATGAAATTCGTATCATTCATTATAAATTAGAGAAAAGAGAAATTACAAACAAACCAAAAAGTTAAAGTAGATGTAACATTATCCAAAAAGTGAGAAAATATCAAAACATATTCCTCTTTTGTAGTATGGCACACAAATTAAGGACAACAGTAGCTTTAATAGCTATAAATTTATTCACTAACACAAAATAGATGAAAGGAACCAGTTGCTAGAAATATCTTTCATAATTGTCTTCAATAAACTAAAATATACTTTACATGATTTATAAACAAAAATAACGTCTCTCCACCTTATAAGTTGGATATTTTTTCCTAGATTCTTCATCAACTTTAATTTCCTCAATATAGCAATATTATTGGCATCTTAATTGTGGAAGATATAAACCTAGCAATTTCATGAACAGACAGTTGAAAACAATTTTAAGATTTCCTTAATGCTTCCTCAATTGGTTCTATTCTAAAGGTCTAAGGTACCTAAATATGACATCCACATAAATTTTATTATCATTGATGGATCAATTACGTATCATGAAAAAGGAAGCATACAAAGACGTTTATGATTTGATATCAAGTATTGTTGTTTTAAATAATATATGCGGACGCGTAATAATTTCCAATGACAGAGATTTTAAATAACATATTCTGGTGTAAATTAATCACAATTTCTTTATCATAAAAAGAATAAATATTATTATTTTTGCGACTAGATGTACGAATTTCATTTTTTTTATTGATTGAAATTAGTTATTCGGGTTAAAAACAAAGTACTTGATCTAAAACACAATAATCTCTTTATATTTATTGAAAATTTAAGAACAATATGAAAATCACATATGTTGTGCTCCATGAAATACAAAGCACTTGGAGATCACATGAATAGAAATATATAGTATAACTAAATTGTAATGACATGACACAATCTTCATCCTAGCATGTGCTAGAGATATATGCTAAGTAAGTAAATAAGTAGTAGATATATGAAGTAAATCAGCAAGGGAGTGAGCTTCACAAGAGTTGATCCTCAATGGTCAATTCCTCAATCATATTCCCATGGTTGAGGCTTCTAAGAGGATTGAAAACTTGAATCTCAGAACACTTGTTTGGTAGGATCATGGAACCAAGGCCTTGATCAAGTGAGTGTATAGGCAGATGATACTTACGCGATATGACAACCGAGTTGATAACTTCGTCCATAGGGTGGAAGATCGAGAGAACCTCAAAGCCTCGAAGATCGGAAGGTTCAACTACTGGATAGAGAAAAGCACGAGCTCCATGAGCACTTCGTAGCATAAGAAGTGCTCCTGGAGCCATGTGCTTTTCCAGATGATCGATGATTCGATTTTTCTCCTCCTTGTTCATACCGACGAGGGCAGCCAAGTAAACAATTTCAAACTCTTTCAAATCGTCAGTCACGTCCAATATGTCATTGGTGTGAAAAATCATACGGTTTGACAAGTCAGGATCAGATGACACCAGATTTTCAGCGCTGGAATTGGCTAGAGGGTCGATGTCGTAATTATGAAAAGTGGTTGAAGGTAAATGATTTGAAGCCAATACAATTGAAGTAAGAGGAAGAGGTCCAGAACCAATAAAAGCAATTTTGGAAGGGACATGAGAACAGTATTGGCTAAGGATAGAAAACTCAAGGTGACCAAGTTTGATGTAGTTAGAATAATAAGGAAAAATATGAAGATGATGAAGAGGGTTTTGGTATGAACCTAAGATAGCTGAGTAGTGACTCTCCAAATACCCTTCAGCTTCACCACATAGCCTTATGAGGTGTGATCTTTTTTCTTGAATAGTTTTTGGGAGTTTTGTGACATCTATAGGACTAGGTGGCATGCATGTGAGGACAAGCTTAGTGAAAAGCATGTCGACATTTTTGCAAGGTTTGAGTGTTTCAAGACTTGAGATTTGTTCATACAAGTCACACACTTTTTCAATCAATATTTCTTCTTGGCAAACCATGTCGACACTATGAGGTTATGGAAAGACTTGGCTCAAGAAAACATACAACTAGGACATGGGGAGGATTCAATATTTATGGACAATTGTGGGGTCCACAAGGATCAAACACCCTTGAGTTGAGACTTTGGTATTGTCTTTTTTTTAAAATTATATTCTATTCTATTTTTATGTTGATATTGTTATGTGAGGAAAGTCTTTTTAAACATTATCATACATTGTTTGATGTTAACTAAGATTTTATAGGTCATATAAACATGAATTCATTAAAAGTTTAAGATGTGTTATTTTGGGAAGTGTTTAAAGAAACTGTCAAAAACAGAGTAGTGTTAAAAAAATTTTTGTCAAAAAAGCAATAGAGTTAAAAATGGTTATATTTAAGAGTTGAGAATATTTACATCAAAGACATCAACGTTGTCATCTTGTTTTTAGTTTCTTTTTATGTACAATTTTGTTTCAAAATATTCTTATTCGGCGGTTGAAAGATTTTAGAATCCAAAAACAAGAATATATATATATATATATATATATATATATATATATATATATATATATATATATATATATATATATATATATATATATATATATATATATATATATATATATATATATATATATATATATATATATATATATATATATATATATATATATATATATATATATATATATATATATATATATATATATATATATATATATATATATATATATATATATATATATATATATATATATATATATATATATATATATATATATATATATATATATATATATATATATATATATATATATAACTTGAAGTTCTAATACTTAAATAATATCAACACATATTTTATATAAATTTCAAATTATAAAATAACACAGAATATTACAATACTATACTGTTCTCGATTATTCACAAGGCTTAAAGAGACATGTCCAAAAGTGTCATCAAGTGATAAAGTACATAGAGTAAGTGATCGCTTATTCATTTAAGAATAGACAATTATGCCCTCCAGACGTACCAATCATTGTTTGATTAGATCTAACGGCTATCCATACAACATGTCTCACCTCACACGTACATTTTTAACCGCTTTTTTTTTTTATATAAAGAGATAAATGTGTTATTTTAGACATTTAAATTCATTCTCACTCTTACATTACTTCTTATTGTCTCATTGAATTGGGCGTTGGAGTGTTAACTTTGTCCTTTAGTCATCTCTCAGCTGTATCGAAAACTTGCTTTACCGATCCAATACCTCATCTCATTGTCTTGGGCATTGTAATCTTGTTTTTAGTTTCATTTTATGTGCAATTTCTTTTTCAAAATATTGTTATTTGGGGGATGAAAAGGCTTTAGAATCCAAAACCAAAATTGTATATTTTAAAAACTTCAAGTTCTTCTACTTTTTTTGAAACCACACAAACATTCATTAAATGAGCCTTAAATCCTAAATAGATTGAGCTTTGATACACGTTGGAGTTTCTTCAATTTATACGGAGTTTTTGGCGTGTTTTGCGTTTTTGTGATAGAATGTGAGTTATATAGTTTGTTTCTTTCTAGGAAAAGACACCCTAACATTTCTAAGGATTTTCATATTTCTTCGCATGTCGCTTCCTAGCATACCCCAAGAGGTTCTAGGATTTTTTCCATTGTTTATGATCATCGCCAAACTCTAGTTGTCTGTTTCGAATTTCTTTGTCATAAAATAACTATCCAAAGTTGTCTCGGTGACTTTGTCCAATACCATGGTTTAAGCCAATACAGGATTTTCGTCTCCATTCATAAACCAAGTATAAGCCGCCATTGTACATTTGTTTTTGTAGATAGTCCCTAAGCCCCATTTTTCTTTTATATTGAATTAGGTTTCTCTAACTGGGTTACATTTTTCTCGAATTATCTTTCTTTGTTTGAAGCATGTAAATCTATATATTTTCCTTTTTCATTGTCTGTGTTATTTTTCATTTGTTCTTTGCTTTTGTTGACTCCTTCCTCAATATTCTTTTTCGAGGTAGTTTGATGATTGTCAATTGTTGTAGCTATCTTATTTCAAATTCATCCTTGATTTGAATGCTTGAAAGGTAATTTTTGATTTGGTTTTTTCCTTTGTTCTTCATCTCCGAATAGATTTTCCTTTTTTATGTTTTATAATTGCTTTTGTGGATCTATGTTCTTGTAGGTATAATGTATGAAATAGCCAGTTGACAAATATGAGTTTGATTATGACAACACTGTGTGGTGAAGTCTTCATCTAAAGTGATCATTAAGTTTCATGCTTGGGAGATCAAGCTGTCAAATTCAATCTCTTAAAGATAACACATATTGTTAAGCAGCATCATGTAGAATCCTTGATGGTCCCCGATTAAGCAATCTCTTTGATGAAGGTGTCTATTAAGAAGTTATATCAAGCCTCATCAGATAGGAGAAGTTAAGTACCAGATGATATGTTGAACCTTTAATGCATCTAGCAAGGGATCTTAGAAATTAAGGGTTTATAAAAGAGAGGAAGTGTGAAAGCTCACTTAGTCCGCGTCTGAGTGATCAAAGTCTTGTAAAAGATATTAGAGTAATTCCTAAATTACTAAGGTAATGCACACACTCACCTAAAGTTATTTTAAACTCTCTATTTGATAAAAACTCTTTAAAACCTGATTTGACCTGATCAGAAGGGGACCAAGGACTTGCCACACGCTGTTAATCTGTTGCATGTTCACCGGTGTTGAAAAGGAGATGGGGGGTGTACCTGCAAGACACTCTGATGTCAAAGTAAGAGTTTGGACAGAGTGACAACAAATACAGAAAAGGGGTAAGAAGTAAATACCTGACCCTCTTGGAGAAGAGGGTATTTATAGAGAGACCCCAACGCAGGGCCAACGGTCATTTGAGTTGGGCTGGATGGCCAGACCCAACCCAAGTGACTGCTAGGCCTTACGTGGCGTAGTGAAGACAAGAATGTGGTCTTCGCCCTAGTTCAACTGCTCCGTGGACTCCAGAAAGTGGGTTTACCTGCTCTTTCAGAGGTGGGTAGTTGGTGGATGACGTGTCCCCACGGAGGAGAGCACGTGGAGAACGTGTGAAGGACACGTTGTTCTGCCCGACAAGGGAGAGGGTCCTGCCTGCGGAGGGACATTGTCTGCCCGACGGGGACTCTGTGCTCGACGGCTGTGGCCCAAGCTGGATTGGGCTTGGCAGAATATCATTGGGTTGGGCCTGCTCGGTCAAGCCGGGGCCTAGGCCAGAACAAAACCCTTAGTGGAACCACTAAGGTGCTTGTGGAATTGATAAAAAGTATTCCTGAACATTTAGAAGACTTTTATACACTGCCTAATCGATTAAAGCCCTCATCTAATCGATTAGAAAAAAGTTTAAGCTTCCTTATTGATTAATAACACTCATAATCGATTAGGACACTAGCCGTTTTATAGTTTCCTTTTTGGGAATTAGGTTTGTCGTTTTTATGAAGCTCATAACCGATTAGGTGTTAAGCATAATAGATTATGATCATTAAAAAACCGATGAATATTTTTCCTTTTTAGCTAGATTTTTGTCATACAAACACACCATAAAACATATTTTGACACTACTCTTACTCTCCACTCCTTTTCTTCACATTTCACAAAAATTTCATTAGTGCTTTAGGAGGGAAAAATATTAGTGAGAAGTTTCTTGTGTATTATGGTATAAGGAAAATATTGTAATTTGTGAAAAAATATTTTATCACTTGTGGAAAACCTTTTTCTAAGAAGTTTTTATTTGGTTCGTGAGATTGTTCGTGAAAATATCTGTTTGGTTCGTGAACTTTTCCTCGTGTAAAAGCTCTTATTTTGTTTGTGAGGTTGTTCGTGAGAATCTTCGCTTGGTTTGTGAGATGTCTATGGTTTAAAAGCTCTCAATTTGTTTCAAGATTATATTGGTATAAAATCTCGTGTTTGGTTTAAAGGATGGCCAATGTAAAATTTCAGGTTTGATTGTAAGAAGGTTTGTGGGCATAAACTGTGAAAAGCTCACACATATACTAGAGACTCTCAAGGAAACAATTCTTGGAGAGAGGAATAGAGTAAGTGGCTAGGCCAAACCTCTATAAATCTCTATTGCATGTTTCTTATCCCTTATCTATTTTTATTAGATTATTTTTGTTGTGCCTTCTTCTCTTCCTCACTTTAATTTATTTTTATTTATTTATTTCATTGCTCATTCTTTGTTTAAGTTATAAAATTTTTTTACCAAAGAATTTTTAATTGGAAATTTTTTTAAATCAACACAATTCATCCCTTGTATTTGGAGGCACTTATCCAACAAGTGGTATCAAAGTCATGGTTAGGATCGATGGAGAGCAGAAGTGGGATCCTATGATGGATCAAGGCTAGTCATGTGGGTGACTCACACTTGTGGGGGAGATTGTTGGGATTCAAGTGCGAGTAGTTAAGGTCTCTTTGTTCTTTGACGTTTATCCCATTGAAACTTTTGGCGCTCCCAAGACTCCCCAACAAATGAAATCATAACCTAACTTCTATTATAAGACTAATTGTCTCAGGAGGTAGAATAAGGATTGCAAAAACTTTTGTTTTTAGTAAAGGTCTTTTTTTGAATATTGTTTGATGGTGAAAGATTCAAATCACAGAAAGCGAGATTTAAATTTTTTATTAAAACAAATAATTTTGAAATGTGAGATTTTATAACCAATGTTCATTTATTTCTAATTATTATGTTGATAATAAAGTAATAAATAAACCTTATTTTCTTTAGACCAAAGAAGATAAAATAAAAGTTAAAATAAGTTTTAAAACCAAGTACTTAATTATGAATGCTCTAAACACTTGAGAATACTTCCATGTTTTTAATTGTATTTCTGCCAAGGAAGTATGAGTCACTCTTGAAATGATCCATGTGAATTTTTCTAAAATTAATTAAGAGATAATGAACATGCAAATACAAGAATATGAAACACCAAATGAACATGAAGGTCATCTTCATAGATGATGCTTAAACATTTGAATCCTTAGAGATTATG